TTTGTTTTCAGCGATGGATCTACATATTTAACTCTGTCTGAAGTGTCACTGCTGCGCTGCCTGTTCAGATTCAAGACTTCTAAAACACATGAACAGAAAACAAGTGCAACCTCAAAGGCATCAATATAGAGTTATTTTGCTTTAAAGGTAATTGTTTTGACCAATTAAAGGAATAGTTCACCCAAAAATGAAAATGTGCTGAAAATGAACTCACCCTCAGGCCATCCGAGTTTGTTTCTTAATCAGGTTTGTAGAAATGTAGCACTGCATCAGTGTCTCAGCAATGGATGCTCTGCAGTGAATGGGTGCCGTCAGAATGAGAGTCCAAACAGCTGATAAAAACATCACAATAATCCACAAGTAATCCACAGCACTCCAGTCCATCAGTTAACATCTGGAGAAGACAAAAGCTGAGACAAATCCAGCACTAAGATGTTTTTAATAGGAGTCCATAATCTATAACAACGCTTCCTCCAGTGAAAAAGTGCATCTCCTGTTGTCTCTCACATCAAAATCCAGCCACATATTTGTTTAGAGCTGTTTAAACGCTGCTTGATCTGTGCAGATTTCTCTCCTGATTCACACCAGAACACTTTTTCACTGGAGGAAGTTGATATTTACATGTTTTCCAGGAGTGTGGGCATCCTTCAAACAGGCTTTCTGGGATGCCAGGCAGGTAAAATCCAAGTCGGAAGAGGCTGCACAAGCATATCAAGTGTAAACTGTGGCTAGTACAATAGCACACACACACACACACACACACACGTGCGGCTCATGCGCTGTCAGTCCCAGCTGTGGACTCTTTGAATATGTTGTGGCGGTGTGATAATTTCCTGCTTTCCTCAACCAAATGCCATTGAGCCACACGGCAGCTTTAGTCTCCAACACAATCATCACCAGCCTGCTGTCATACATGGACTGATGTAATAGTTAATAAACAGATGGCATGAAATCCCATCACTTTCGATTAAATGAGAGCACTCAAAGGCACTAGCTTATGTGAATCACTTCAAGATTATTTCACAGAATTCATGCAACATGCCAATCAAGAGATCTGATCAATTATGAGAGATTTGATCAAAAATCCATCCAAAAAAAGAGTAATATTGTCAACATTATTACAATTTAAAAGAAATGTTTTCTTTTGCAAAATATTTTAAAGTGATCTTTTTTTTCCTGTGACGAATAAATAAATAAATAAGATACACAATGATAAATGATAGATAAATAAATATAAAAATAAATAAAAGAATAAGAAAGAATAAAGTAAAAATAAATAAAGGAAATAACAAATAAAGGGAGGAAAGGTCATACAAAAATAATATCAGAACTACATTTAATGAAAAAAATATTTGTTTTAGCAAGCCATTTATTCTTTTATTTATTTTCCCATTGTTACATTCATTAATATTTTGCAGGCTTAGTAAAGAAATTATTCTGTTGCTGCTTCATATTTTTGTGGAATATTAACTAATAAAATTGATTAATATTGTGGATATATTTTTTCAAGATTCTCTGTTGAACAGAAAGTTTGAAGAATACCTTAAAAAAATAAACATCTCTTTTAGCATTAAACATGTATTTACTGTCTATTTTGATCAGTTTAATGATTTTATGCTTGTTAACACACACACACACACTCTCTCTCTCTCTCTCACACACACACACACACACACACA